CAGCGAACGCCGAGCCAGCTGGCCATGTCGAAAACATGTCATGCGGAGGCACCTGATTGATATCATACTCTTGACCTCTTTAGCTGAAGAAGAGGATTGTGGTGCTGTGGGACACCGGCAACGATGATGAGCAACAGGGTTGCGATGACAATCACGATTCCGAGGGCAACGAGGACGATGAGGATGCCGGTGAAAATAGGTTGAGCAATGAGATAACATCCATAACATCCTTCAACACAATCAACATCGTCATCACCAACTTTATCACCATCGTCGTCGTCCTCCTCCTCCGTACTGCAGTTTCGCATATGTTTCTTACATGGAAGTTGTAACCTGCCCCGGCCCAGGGCAACACCAAGTTCTTCCAGTGGCTGACAGACACAGAGGCTGAAGCCAAGAAGGCGGGTCTTGCGGCTTCAGGGCCGCCCATGCAAGTTCACTCGCGCAATTCGCCACCTAAGCAAAATGCAGGTGAAGCTCCAGGTCAAGGGTTCGCATGCCTGGGCCTCAGCGGCCTCGTTGCCTTGGCGCTGTGATGCTTGAGCCCTTGGTCTAGAGGCTCGGACTTGTGGGCACTTTACGTTGTACAGCCGGGATCAGGAGGAAACAGGCTGCTTCAGGGATTGAGGTTGCAGTTAGGGATTATGGAATTTACGCTTCTTCAGTCTGAAGCACTGAATGCTGAGCTGCTGATCTAATAACTTTAGGCTTGGAGTCGAGGAGCTTGGCTTGGTTCTGCATCTGTGACTCTAAGCCTAGAGTTGAGCCTAGAGCTGCGGCCTAATGCCACCTTCCCAATTTTGCACTTCGCCGCCACCTTGGAGTTGCATTCTCTCATTCAAACTTGCTTCGTTTTGATTTCGTTTCTCCCTACTGCCCTCATAGCTCTTCTTGAACCCTATCAGGCCGTGCACATCTGCACAACCAGATACCAAGCATGCCTCCCGAAGCCACAGATTTCCACGCTGGTCCGTGCACCCATCGGCCTCGACGAAGAGGCCACACCGAGACGGGACTTGAGCTTTTTGTTTGGGTGACTGTTGCTACGTCCTTTTCGAGCAGATGCATAGAATGGAGGGCCGGTGTCTTCCATACCCTTATCCAGGGGACTCCGGCGGTAGGGCGATTGCGATTGGTCAAATGCATTGATGCGGGTTGGAATATGTTTGAATGCATGAAAATGCGAGCATCCGCCGATGAGGCTTATCCAGGCGGACCAAGATGCATCCCTAGCTGACCTTGCTTCTTCAACTGTAGATCCCCAAACCCTTCTCGAACACCGAAGCATTGGGTCTGGCAGTCGCCACGTATGGCAAAGCCCTTGTACCCTGAAGCCTTCAAGTCCTCGAGGGTGCGAGCCATGAGATGCCAGCCTTTAAGCCCGAGTGCACACCGTGCCAGGCTCTTCGTGAGTATCTCGTCTCCTGCAAGTGCGGCACTCAGGATCCCAGTCGCGGCGGTTCTAGCATCTTTTTTGGGAAGGTTGGAGCTTGCCATCGCTTCGGGTGATGGTAGCTGTGGGGTTGCGGGTCATGCTCCGTGTCTTGCATTCGGCATACTTCACCCAGGTCTCCGCCCAAAGAGCTCCGATCCCCAGCCCTTAGCCGCCTTAGCCCTGGCCCTCAGTATCGACATCGCGAAGTTCGGGCACGACGGCACCAAGTGACAACCTCAGAGATGCTTTGGGGCAGCTGAGCCGTGAACCCTGAACCTCAAATCCCTCAGCCGCAACCACCCCTCAGCCAGCTTGGCGTTCCGACTCCTAACATGGGCAGTAGGAACAGAGGGTTCAACAAAAATCCCTCAATCGCTTTGGGTTTGGGGTTTTGGGGGGGCCAGGCTTTGGATGAGGGCTTGGGACGAATTCAGGGCTTGGGGAAAGCCCGAGATAAAACTTCCACACTTGAGCTCTGACAGCCTGCAAAACCTGGGCTAAACCGTCAATCCGGAGACCCCAAGCCAGTCCTTAAGACTCCGACCTGAATTTCCAAGACCGTAGTCCTTGAACCCCAAAGCCAGAGCCTTCAACTCGAGAACCTCTAACCCCTCCCCTGTTGCGCCAAGTCGGAACTGAGGAGCCTGAAGGAGTTCTCTTCCGAGTTGATCAAGGGAGAGACGCGCCTTCTGCAGGCCGGGACAGCGGGTCTTTGGAGTTCCGCAAGAGTTCGAGGCACCGGAGCGTGATCACACGGGCCTCGAGCCTAAGCCCAAGAGCCTGAACCTTGAGCCTTCGCCCGACAGAAGCACCTCTGCATGCAACTGCCGTTTCCCCGACCCATTCGTACCCTAAGCCCCCCCCCAAACCGAGACGCAGGTGGCAAGCGGTGAGATTTTGGTGATCACGGAGGCGCATCCGTGCTCGAAGTTGGGCAAGGTCCACCTAGAAGCCCCCCCGACGTCCAGCGAAGAATGGAGAAGAGCATGGCAGACTGTTTCGCGCTCTTTTTTGCGCATCGCAGGTGGTGATGCTCATCCTCCACAACCCGGCGACCAAGGAAACCCTCGTGCAAACCGCCCAGGTCCGATCCCGAGTAGCTGAGATCCCAATTGGGGAATATTTTCCTGTAGTCTAAGAAAATATATATGATGTTTATATATATATATATACAAATATGATGAAACCAGAGTTCATGCATGGAGGCCAGCGCCCGGAGCTCGAAACGGCTTTACCACCCCGTCGAGAAAGTTATGTCGATCTCCCGATGCCGTGCAAAGGCGCCAGGAAATGCCTTGACCGGGAACTTCAACTGATTCGGGTCTGTGCAAGCAGTGCGATCATGCCACTTTCTGGATCCGAGGTGGTGCAGACTAGACGGAAGTGTGTAGGTATTGTTCGAGAAAGCCCTGGATCGGTAGCACCTGCAACCGCAAAGCACAAGAGCCAAAATGTGGTCGTGTCAAGCGAGGTTTCCCAAAGTTCAGAGCCTGGCCAAAGCCTAAACCCTCAACCCTCAAACCCCCTGGCTTCGCCGATGCGCAACGTTGAATCCTTTAATTTGCTTGGAAGGAGTGTACAGTGGCGCATGGCGGGCTTTAAAAAAAGGCCCTGAAACCCCAGAGTCTTGATTTCAGAGACTTCTGCCGAGGTGTGGCCCGATGGCAAGACGAGCCATCAAGCCCGAATTCCCGGGGCAAAGCGGCGCCAGAGCCCCGGAGGGGGGGCTTGTTTTTTTTTTTTTGGCGGATTCAGGGGTTCGGTGTTGCGAGGTTTCGTGCTGGGCTTTCGAGATTCCGATAAGGCTTAGGGCATTTCTGCAGCCTAAAGCTGGATCAGGCTCTGAATCTGGACTTTGGCTTCTGCCATGCCATCATCACAGACTCGCGAAACGAGTCTTGAAAACTAAGCCGCGGGAATCGAAAGATACCTCAGAGCCCCCAAATCCACACATGGGTAGGTCCCCATTATAGTACGGCACCCTTACAAAAAGGACCCCCCAAAAGTGACCCTAATTTAGAGAACTACCCACAGAACCCGTCTGACCGAGGCCCTGATGAGAACCAGTTCCTCTGCGCGCGCCGCATCCTGAAGAGGCCGGACCCGGAGAGACCCAAAGCGTGGACCCCCACAGATCCCTACTTGGAGGATCTTGGGACTTAGTAAGTAGGGTTATAAGTACCCCAATTGGGGTTATAGGTATAGTCACCTTGTTTATAACCTCAGTTACTAAGTCCCATGATCCTTTAAGTAACGAGTCTGCAAGCCTGGCCTTTGTTGGTGGGGCTCGGGGCTGACTTGCTTGAGGTTGGTGGCCAGTAGTATCGGGATTTGCAAACGGGTGCTGCAGACAATCATGCAGTGGTAGACATAAGCTTCATCCGAGACTCGCAGCGCATTGATTAGTAGGTGGCTGCTGACAGCTCTTTGTAGGATTTGGGCAAAAGAGTCGACCCTTTGGTGCTTCTCCACCACATATACAAAGCCAAAATACTGAAACCCCCAAGCCCTGAACCAGCTTCTGTATCTGATCCCGGACTAGGCAGCTGGAGATCGATGAGAACGCGGTGCGCCTGCTCACTGCTCACTCCCTGCAATCGGTATCAAAGTTTAGCAGTGCTGTTCTTTGTGTTGGTTGCATTGGCTGTTTGTTGCTAGTCTTACGGCAGCGCATAGCAGAAGAGCCAAAAACGCAGAATGGCTACTGTACATGAAGCCTGCGTGCAGGACTCTACTTTGCATGAAGTGCAAGCAAGCATCTGCTGCTAGATTCGGGTTTACTGCCAGCAGTGTTGATGGGTGAGCTTTGGAGGAAACAGGGAATCGGATGCTTAGGGCTTGGGACCACCATCGTCAAGAAGTCCTCGCCCTCTCAGCCCAAGCGCGGACAACATGTCAGAGAGCAGGCAGTAGCAGCAGCAACAGTAGTCGTCGAACCTCGCGCAGAGTGGTCGTCGTCCTGCTCTTTCCCCCTGCGGGCGGATAGTGAGACTAAGTCTAAGAATCATAACGATAAGAACGCTGGTTACAGCCAAAGAGTAATCCTACTATATGCTACTAACAACTTGCATCCACAAAAAAGGGATTCTAGCCGAGTCCTGGGCACATGGCGTCCGAGCCAGGTCCGGATCTCCCAAGAGGTGGGTTACATCGAGGAAGATCGGAGTTCCAAGAGCCCGGGACCCTTTTCCTTTGCTTTGGGACCTTGACCGGGGCCGAAGGGGATTGTTTAAGGGGTCTATGGGGAGCAGTCTCAGTGTATGGATGCCGCTTCAATATGGTAAGTAAAAATCAACCCAGAAGTGCATGATCTCTCCATGTGCATGAAAGCCCATGAAACTCCGACAAGGCACCCCAAAGAGTTTTGACCCATGTCGTGAGTTTTCGTTGATGCCTTGGTTTCGCAACTTCTGGTTTTCTCTGTACGTCTTTGCACCATGGGAGCTTACCTCTTTCTTGTCTGACCAAGAAGACCTGCGGCCTACGAACCCCATGTCCTTGAACCCCAAATCTGAACCCTCGCTGAATCGCGCCGAGGCTACCCCGGCCTGAAGACAGCCCTGGCCTCGGGCAGATAGATGCGCAATGTTCCACGATCAACAGCATCAGCAGCCAATGTTACAAGACTCGGAGACAAGAGCAATGTGAAGATTCCCTCAGCTTTAAAGAGCTTTCAAACCCAAGCCGCCCATGCGATCGAGGTGTACAGGAAGCGGGTGATCCGGGGAGAGGTCGTGCCGTGAACGCCAGACCTGGCCACTTGATGGATGCAAGGTTTCCTTTTGCCTCCGGTGCTCGCAGGAACTCAGGGTTCGGGCAGAAATGGGTTTTGAGACAGGGATGGCGAGCGGATCCGCGAGCCTTTCGGCTTCGAACCTGGATGATGTACTTCTGATGCAAGACTGTGAGTTTGAGTTTGGCACCCGGGGTTTTTGAGAGCAACTTAAAGTTGACACTGCCCTAGGCCTAGTCCGGGGCAATGTTCAGGCTCTTCTAGAAAGTCTTAAAGCCGCTTCCTCTGCCTCATGCTCTTGCTCCGCTGCAGCTGCAGCGGCAGTTGTTTGGTGTTGTTGCCGTAGGCCAGTTTCGGTGACTTCCCACAGAAAAGCAGATGCACCGCCTCTGTGGATGTTAGGCTTCACGAGCGTCCGACGTTCAGCAATGGGGAAGGAGGTCCGATGGGTCGCGGTATTTTTGGGATCAGGTTTTGAGTGTCGAAGCCCCGTGTCAATGATTGCGAAGAACTGTGGAAGTCGCTGGTGCTACTGCCAAGCACCGGCTGTGTGTGGCTGTAGCCTGTGATTGACGGCCCGTCCTAGCAAGAGCTGCCTGAGACTCGTTTCATCCTTTGCCCCACAGTCTCTTAAACTTGATTTCAGGCTGCCGACTGTTTTGCTGCCAAGCGATGGCAGGGTTTTCGACAGCCAAACTCAAGTTTGGCCGGAGCCTCAGTCTGGCCTCAAACTTCTGGATCGTCAATTCCCTCTCTCGGTCGCCGGCTGGGTGTGAGTCTCGAGGTGCAGCTGCCGCTGCCATGACTTTGACCACCGTCATAACAAGTGTTCTGGTGATCATGATGGTCATGATGATGATAACTAGTGACTTTCCATCATGGGCAACTGTGTGGTATAGTTGCCATCAGCAATGCGTACCCGAGTGCTGCATTTGGCATGGGGCGAGGTTTTGCAAGAGCATGAGGGTTTGGGACGGTGTTTCGCGACTCAGCATTTCGCTTTGCCTACTGTAAATCATCTTTAGGCCTTCGGGACAGATCTGCATTGAAGCCCCGGCAAAGGTGTTGTTGGCTCGGAATGGCCGTCTCTTTTCCTGAGAGCAGCTCGCGCACGACGGAGCCTCTGCTCTCACGACTCGGATTCCTCGTGCCCTCCTGGTGCTGGTCCGATTGCCATGCTCGTGATATGCTTGTAGCAGCCAGGCGTAGATGCACAGGGAGAAGGGAAGCCTGCAGCTATTTTGTAAAGAGAGAGATGCGAGTGACATGAGGGTCGCCAGCAGTTTTGCTGCACATATCTCATGCGACAGTCGCATCCGGTTGCACGTGCAGTTTCAGTACAACCCATGCACAGCTCCCATATCGGAAGCGAAAAAATATTCAGAGCTTCGCCCTGCTGCTTTACCGAGCTTTACAGCACATGCGCACAATCTTCAAGATGGGTATCTCACTTGTAGATTTCAGAGCGACATATCTTCTTTCCATGCTTTTGGCAACTGCCAGCCTCGCGACCACGGCGTTGGACCAGCGTCTTCCCGAGCGAAGCGGTGGAAACCCCGCTCCGCGGTAGTAATGATTCTTTGCCAATCGGCTGTCACAACCGGTTCGAACGCACTGCAGGCAGGTCCACATTGGAATTTCTCCGGTTGCTGTGGATGTTAGGCTGTCGGGATCTCGAGCGTTTAGTGGACGGTGCCTGTGCAGGTGGCGAAGGGTGGCAGTCACCCATTGGAGCACCAGTGGTTTCACTCAACTTGCATTACGCCTGAGCTTTTCCGAACGCGAGCTATACAATAGCACTAGGTTTTGAATCCGAAGAGCTCCAGCAGAATCCCGACCACATGAGGAAGAGGGAGGAACCGCACGCTATGCCAGGCGGCGAAGACTAGTGACTAGCATGATCTTGCCGACGCCGTAAGGACAAGAACATCAATCATGCTTGCCATGTTGTCGTTATTCGTATTCGGATTCTTGTGACCAGTTCTGCCACTTGCCACCACCACTGCTGCTGCTGCTGCTGCTGCTGCTGCTGCTGCTGCTGCTGCTGCTGCGGCTACCCCTACAGCTGCCACTCCTGCTGCTACTTCTCTGCTAATTACTGCTGCTGCCGCTGCTGCCGCCGCCTCTGAGTAGAAGAAAACCATCCTCAGGCTCCTCAGGCTTGCTGCTCGCCTCGGCCCGTCCCCGAAGCTTCCTGGGCTCTCCCCCCGCGCGAACCGAACCTCCGAAGTCTCGATGCTCATTCGAATTCTCCAGCTTCCTCAACAAGAAACAGGCCGAAGCGCCTTCGGATCGTCGGGCTCTGGGCCTGGGCTGTTTTTCAGGGTTCAAGGTGCGTCAAAGGCTCTGCATGGATCTGAGAGAAACGCGACGCCGCAATGCAGCTTCGCAGCTCCACAAGCCCTGCTCAGTCATTTAGGCCTTTGGGCAACTCAGACAGCTCAGCTCCGGACCGTTCTAGCAGCCTTCTTGGTGAACGCGCCGTGTTCGACTTTGGAGAAAAGAGGCCATGTGTGGAATGTGTTGGATCCGGGAGTCCATGTTCTTTTTTGAGCTTTTGTGACTCCTTTGGATTCAGATTGCATCCTTTCGCCTTCTTCTGGAAGTGCTCGATCTTTGGGAACCTGACGCCCCTACCGCACGCGCCCGAAGCCCTGAAGCCTCCACCTAAGAGACCTGTCGTGGCGCCTGAGCCTATCTTGAGTGCATCGTCTACGCATGTCTACGCCGCTCTCTCAACGGAGTGAAATCAAGAACGCCGGCCTCTTTCCCATCAGCACGGGCCTGTGTTTGATTGCGCCGTTGTCGCTCCCGCTACCACTAGGTTCATGTTGACGTTGCTACAAGGTACGCGCACCGGTTGAGCACGATACCTGTTGTCATAACCCTGTCATTGATCATGCCCACGACGATCGCTCTACGCTTTATTTGGCCTTCGAGCATGGCTCCCGACCGCTTGAGGGATCTGCTACAGCTGGCACGGCCGGGCTGGCGGCGGAAGGCCGGAGGGCCGCAGGGAAAGTGACAGACTGGAGCGAGAAGCAGCAGTCATCGTGGTAGTTCTGGCTAGTGTCATCATGGCTACTGTTCGTATTGCTGTTTTTGTTCTTGTTGCGCGTGTTATTAGTTGAGCACTCCGCACTCCTTCAGGCAGCAGCATCCAGACAAGAAGCTTCGAAGAAGAAGTCGACGTGTGGTTGTGAACCCCTTTTTGCTGGTGCAAGCTTCATACCCTGGCCAAATTTTCCCTCCAGTGTTTGATTCTAAAGACACAGTCGGTAGTTGTAGGGTTGAACAGTAAATATTCAAGAAGAACACTAACGACTTTTCAGTGCTCAGACCTGAACCCGAAGCCTTGTGCAGGACGTCGAAGCCATCGAAGCCAGGTGGGGGCCTTTCTTTGGGGTTTAGGTTCTACAGCCCATGAGGAAGCGAGACAATGGGGGTAGGCATGGCTACTCGTTAGGGCCCTTGCCGTTCACATGTATCGGGTTGGATTGTGCACTAGTTGCATATTGTCCATGAAGTCTTCGCATGCATGTCCTTCACCCCCCTGACCTGAAGCACAGAGGCGCATACCTCGCACTAGGTTCCATGTGGCTCTGTTTTCTCCCAAGCTTCTGAAGCTCTACTTGGAGGATCTTGGGACTTAGTAAGTAGGGTTATAAGTGCCCTAATTGGGGTTATAAGTACAGTTGCCTTACTTATAACCTGAGTCCCATGATCCTTTAAGCAAGCCCCTGTCATGACGTGTCAGCCGAACCGGAAACACAAGGCCATGGCAGTAACAGCATTGGGCTTAGACACGGCCACGAATCTGTGACTATGTATGCCTTCCTTCATCTCAGGCAAAAAAGCCATCACACACACAGTTATGCTTGCATATCTGTGTACATTATATGTATATCTGTGCATGTATGTACACACGCATACATGTATCTATATATATATGTATATATGTA